GTCAATGAGATTGTAATCGTTGGAGGATTTTGTTTTAAATTTTAAAACGTTTGGTGTTGAACTGGAGATGGCCCAAGTATTTGTTCCAACTCTAGATGTCAGGTTACGAGATTCTTTTCTATAGCTTTGATTTTCTTTTAAATTTAGAACTTTGATTTTCTATCGTCTTTTTACAAATTAATATTATAAACAGAGGTTACTTCAACAATAAATATTACAAGATGATTTGTGGCGATATGATTTGTGAAATTGGTCATGGACCTTCGGCATCGATATTTTACTAGTTTATTGCTGATCAGTTGAAGGGATTATACCAAATCAAAGGCAACAACACTGCATATGAAATGAAATGCATTTTTTTTTGTTTTGATCAACATTTTCATTAACTTCAAAGAACTACAGTTAAGGTACAACAATGGTGAAATTCTCAAGAGCAGCTTTAGCTAAAGCATCCGCTAAAACATTGTCGGATCTTGAAACATACTCAAAAGAAATAGTAGCAAACAAAGTAGATAAGTCTTTGGTATCTTTGATGGTTCCATAGGTCTCCTTACTATAGACCTCATATTTGATAGCTTGAATAAGCTCCTTTGCGTCTGATTTGAGGCATAGATTTTGCCATCTGCGATCATGTGCATCCCAAAGAGCCGCACGCATCGCCAAAGCTTCCGCAGACAGAGGAGAAGCGACATGATCTTCTTTTTGCATCCCTTTATTTGTAGTGACCCGTCGCTGCTTTGAAAGACCCATCCCAAACTTGCATTTTTCGTTTCTACACTCCATACCGCGTCGGTGTTGCAAGTGATCAATGTTACTAAAGCAGGGGGAAAGGGGGTTTGTATTGTTTGTTGAATACAAAGGGTTGAGGTTCTATTTTGGTCCCATTGAGCCATCTTCCATTCTCTCGCATTAGCCAGAGCTTTGGTGGCTGTTTCTTCTGCTAATACAGCCCTGTTTTCATAGATTTTTAGGTTCCTAGCTGTCTAGATGGTCCACAGAACCCATGGGAGGATGTTGCCAGTTCCAAAACCCGTAGGTGGGAGAGTGATCCATTCTTTCCGGCCCCATCGTTGGTGCACATAATGTCCATCGAGCTGTCTCGAGAGCGCAGCAGCGACTTGACAATCTTCCAGTTCCAACACATATTGCACTACATAGTTTCTGACAAATAGAAAAATAGAGAGTTTAGCTCGAGGAGGATCATCTTACTAAGTGACATTGATTCACTTCTTGTCGATCCATTTGGAAACTATGTGATTCAGACCACATGGATGGTATCTCAAGTAAGTATAAACCTGATTCATGATCTCGTTGTGTGAAGACAAAAATAATCCATCTTATCTTGTTCTTGGTGTCTTGCAGGATGACGTGCGAAATGAATTGTTGTACTAGAGAAAAATATAGGGATGAAATACGTTTTTGGAATACGGTTTTGGAATCCTAAACCGGATCATCATCTACAAGAGACTAAGTCTCAAGAAACTAGAACCGGAAGCAAAAGAAGACACTACCAGAAAACATAAACATAAAAACAAGAGTTAGAGTACCCAAAAGGAAAGGAGATAGAACC